TTAACACGTCGTGGGTTTTCTGGTTCTTAAGGGTAGCCCCTTACCATCTGTTATAGGGAGGGGGGTTCGCAGGGGTTAGGGAAGCTTAGGGAGCCTTAGGGAGTACTAGCGAGTATTAGGGAACGTTGGGTTATATACCCCCCTTGAACCCCCCTCCCTTAAGAACTTTTCCTCGAAGCATGGCGAGTTGTAAGAGCTGGCATTGAGGAATTTGCTATGTTTCGGTTCAAGGCCTCCTACCCCTAACGCCCCGAAATCGCCTGAAAACTTCCGCAAGCCCTGGACCTTATGTGCCGTAAAGCCCAAACTCACAACCCTAAACTGATCGAGTGGCCTAAGTCTACACCCTGAACAGAGTGGCCGAACCCTAGACCCTCAATCCTAAATTGAGTGGCCCGGGGCCTGAATCCCAGAACGCGCGCGATTTGTCACATTGGACCAAATGTGCACGGGGGAGCCGCCGCGCAAAAAAAAAAGTCCCGCGTGCGCTGCTCGGGTTGGGGTCTTCAAGGGCTTATCGGGTTTAGACCTTGGGTTGAGTGAGGATAAAGAGAGAGAGAGAGAGAGAGAGAGAGAGAGAGAGGGGGTTCAGGGCCTTGGGTGTCGGTTGAGAGCATGCGAGAGAGAGAGAAAGAGATCTAAGTTGTGGGGTGAGGGTCGATCAAGGACCGAGAAAGGTCCCGCAGGTTGGGCTTTGGCGCGGCCGAAGACCGGCCGCTGCGCGGTTTTGCCCCAAACAAAAAAAGACACAAAGAAAGAAACAAGGACAAAAAACATAAAGAACATGAAAGAAAGAAAGAACGAGAGCGATAATAAAGACAGAGAGAGAGAGAGAGACAGTAAGGAAGGCCCCCTTGGGCGTTCCTGTATTTCGATGACACCGTACATTTTCGGGTACCCAAGAAGGGAGGCAGGTGGCGGGGAATGATGTTTAGCGATTTTGGGGTTTAGGATTTATATAGAGGTTGGGGTGGGTACCGCCTGTGAGGGTTTAGGGTTTAACGGCTTTGGGTTTGGGGTTTGAGTACCAGACGACACACTTAACAGGCACCCCCAAAAATGCATAAGCTCTTTCGCTCGACGCCTAGGACTTAGATCCGACACCATTAGGCGAAGGCTTTGAACTCCGAAAAGCCCCAAAAGACACCGAAACTCTGGACTTGTGAGCCACCTGACACATCGTCAACCCTTGGCCTACGTAACCTGAGCCCTTCCCAGAATCCATTAGGGTTTAGGGTTTAGGGTTTAGGGCTACACATCTTGCAACCCACGAAGCCCTCAACCCTAAGCTCACACCAAACGCTAAGCCCTGAACCGAGGCCTGAACCTTAAGCCTTGCAACCCAGAACCCCTAGAACCCCTAGACCCTCTAGACCCCCTAGAACCCCTAGAACCCCTAGAACCCCTAGACCCTATAAACCCTAAACCCTAGAGACCCTAAACCTCTCTAAAGGTCCGGCGGTGGCCCTGCCCTAGCGCTGAAGGAGATCCTCTGCCCCAGCCAAGTGGCTCCGACCTCGGGCTTCGGGGGAGAAAGGCTTCGGGGGTCAGGGTTCAGCACTTTACTACTATTGCCTGACCCCCCCCCCCCACACACACACACAAAAAAAAAAAAAAGAAATATGTACATATATACATATATATATATATGCATACATAATCTCTTTCTTGCCCTCGTATTCTAAGGATGAATATATTCTTAAGCTTATGGTGGTTTGCGGGTTTCGGGTTTTGGGGTTGGGGGTTTAGCATTTAGGGGGTTGAAACCCTAAACAAAAGGTGCTCTCAGAGCTTTGGCTTAGTTTAGGGCACCTGGTAAGTAATTACTTGGAGGTTCACGGTACTTAATCACCCTATAATACCCGCACTTGTCATTGTACCCCACTTCTAAGCCCCTTAAGTGCCCCAACGTGGTTAGAATTGGGGTCAAACCCTAAACCCTAAACCCTAAACCCTAAACCCTAAACCCTAAACCCTAAACCTCCAAGTAGGCGCTATGGGGTTTCGGCTTAGGAGAACCTGGCACTTGCCACCAGAAGTTGACTTCTGCAATTCTGACATGTTTCACTTCTTGGCCTTCTTTTCGTGGCTGGTGCTTAGTAGGGAATGAGGGAATGAGGGCCCTATTTAATCCCTTAAAAGGGTAGATATATATATATATGTTTATTTATTTATTTATTTATATGGGCCCTCATTCCCTCATTCCCTACTAAGAACCAGGGGGTTTGGTGTAGTACACTTCCGAAAGATAAAATAATCCATAAGTCCCTAAACCCTCAACCCTAAGCCCTCGGTCCCAAACCCACGTCCCACCTCTTGGAGGCTCGTGGTACTTCAGAACCCAATTATAGCTGTACTTCTATCCCAATTATAACCATGTTAGGGCACTTAAGGGGCTTATAAGTGGCTTGTAAGTACCCTAAACCCTAAACCCTAAACCCTAAACCCTAAACCCTAAACCCTAAACCCTAAACCCTAAACCCTAAACCCTAAACCCTAAACCCAAACCCCAAACCCCAAACCCTAAACCCTAAACGTGACAACTGGGTTATATGGCTTACGACGTCCCAAACCCCCCCCCCCCCTTCCCGAACTCCTCCGAGGACCTGCTGAACGCGGTCTTCGAGGGCAACCTGCTGGAGTCTTTCAAGGCGAAGGCCAGAAAGACTTGGGGTTTAGGGTTTAGGGTTTAGGGTTTAGGGGTTAGGGTGTGGGGCTTTTTGCAAGTGGGAACGACAGCCTGACACCCACCTCCATCTTTCCGAGCAGCTCAGTCCGGGCTCAAGAGGGTTTAGGGCTTCAAGGGTTTAGGGCTTCAAGGGTTTAGGGTTTAGGGTTTAGGGTTTAGGGATTAGGATGGATGTAGGGTTTCGGCCGTTTGGAGTTTCAGTGGAATACAGGAGCCTAAGTAAAGGCCAATGACCTACCAACCCAATGTTAGGGGTTCAAAGGCTAGGGATCTCGGCTTAGCCCATACATGCACGGCACCACACGAGTAGTCCTTCTACTTGCATGGCAGGACCCGAACAAAATGAACGTGGCTGGAACCTGAGCGAGTGTTGGTATGTTGGCGTTGTACGTAAGCCTGCACGGTTTTTGTGCACAGAGTGTTGAGCTTTCCCAGAGGCAGAGCTTGGGCGTTCAGGGTTTCGGGTAACCCTAAACCCTAAACCCTAAACCCTAAACCCTAAACCCTAAACCCTAAACCCTAAACCCGTTTAGGGTTAATAGGGATTAGGGTTCAGGGGAGAGTCCCGGCTCCCGGGGCTTGAGGACTCAGGAGTCTGGGGTTTCAGGGTGTTTGGGTTTCAGGGTTTCGGGTTTCGGGTTTAGGGTTTAGGGTTTAGGGTTTAGGGTTTAGGGTCCTCGAGGTTGAAGGCATGTGTGTAGCGGATTCCGGGTTTTGGTGTCAGGGTGCTTGGGTTCAAGGTGCTCTGGCCAGAGCCCTAGACACCCAACACTCGGAAAGCCCTAGAAACCACCACTCGAAACCCTAAACCCTAAACCCTAAACCCTAAACCCTAAACCGGTCAGACAACTTGTAGAACTTAGCTTTGTCCCCCGCCAGGCCTAGAAGCCCCAAAGTCCTGAGATAGACCCTTGAAACCGTTTGAACCCTAAGCCCGACGCCGCGAATCCCCCAAAGCCTTAAAGCCTTAAGCCGCATAAAACCCCCGAAAAAGAAAGCCTAAACATTCTAAACCCTAAACCCTAAACCCGAAACCCCCTGAAACCCTTTTCCTCGTTCAGACCTAAAGGCCGGCTGCGGATGCAGATGGGGGTTTCCGAGAAGAAGTGTATCATGTTGGTGTTCCTTTAATAGGGTTTAGGGTTTAGGGTTTAATTAGGGCATACTACTTGTGTGGGGGCCACATTTCGGGGGAAAATGCCCGTTCGCCATGTACCGCTGAGGCAAGTATGCTGCCCGTTTTGGTGGGCGGGCCGGTCATGATTGCGGTCCCGGTTGTGGGAGGTTTGAGGGCCGCTTGGAGCTTAAGCCTATAAACCCTAAACCCTGATCCCTAAACCGCCCCAAACCCCTAAACCCTAAACCGCCCCTACACCCCCGAAACCTGACTTCAAAACTTCGAGTCCCATTCCTAAGCAAAAACATCCGAGAACTAGAGCCCAAAGCCAGCGTCTGCTTTTGAAAGCTGCAGATGCGCAAGGGTTTAGGGTTTAGGGTTTAGGTTTTAGGGTTTAGGGTTCAGGGTTTAGGGTTTAGGCTTCAGGGTTTAGGGTTTAGGGTTTTGTGCAATCCCAAGCCCTGAACGAACTTCACGCCTGGCTCAAGTCAAGACTCTCTTGAAACAGACTTCTTGGATTCAACTCTTCACATATTCTTATCGGGTTTAAGGGTTCTGGGTTTTCGGCCTTCTTTGAAGCTGAGGGGTTACAACACCCAAATTTATAGGACCTAAGCCCTAAAACCTTAAACCCATGTGCACAGAACCCCCATGGCTGCTACTGCTCCACGTGTCGTTCACCACGGGGCCCGCTTCTCACCAGTGGGACACCAAGCAGGTGCGCGTGAGGAGAAGTCAGGTTGACAGTAGCTAGGGCTGTTTTGGGAGTTAGGGTTTGGGGTTAGGGTTCCGGGAATTCAACACCGGCTGCAAACGGTTTGGGGAAGAGGGGTTCGGCCGTTTAGGCTTTGACGTCCAAACGCCTCGGAGCAAGGTCGAGTAGCTCTTGCAGAGCGCGCTAGGGCTCAATCTGGAGAGATTATAGAATGTTTGGAGTCAGCCCTTACCCTTAACCCACTAGACTCTATTTTGGTGCGGTATACTCTAACCCACTTTTCGCGAACCCCAAAAGAAGTACATCGTGAGCGTCAAGGTAGACCCAATAGACGCTGAGACCAAAACCATCCTAAACCCCAAACCCTAAACCTTAAAAAAAACCCTCAACCCCAAACCCCAAACCCTAAACCCTAAACCCCAAACCCTAAACCCCAACCCTAAACCTCAAACCCCTACAACCCTAAACCCCTAAACCAGGTGGCCACGTAGAGCTTCTGACGAGCAGCACCTACCCCGGATTGGTGTACAAGCCGGTGACTTGGCTTTCCTTCTGGCCGGTTCTCTTAGGGCTTAATAACCTTTTTAAGGGTGTTCTGTACCCTAAACCCTAAACCCTAAACCCTAAACCCTAAGCCTAAGGAGGAATCAGAAGTCAGCCAAGGTAACTGCTGGAGAGCTTTACTTCTACCAGTGCCTCCCCGAGGCCCTGGCGCCGTACCTTGGGTTTAGGGCTTAGGCTTTAGGATTACTTTTTGTTTTTTAATCCCTAAACCCTTACCTTCCTGCTGTTGTTCTAGGGTTTTAAGGTTTAGGGTTTAGGATTTATTTTTTCTTTGGGGGGTTGGGGAAGTGGGCGGGGGGGCTACCCTAAACCTTATAAATCCTGCAAACCCTGTAAACCCTGTAAACCCTGTAAACCCTGTAAACTCTGTAAACCCCTTCTGGTCCTGACTTTGTGCGTTTGCTCTTGACATTTCGTAGCCTCACATCTTCTCTAAACCCTAAACCCTAAACCCTAGCCCTACACCCTAAACCCTAAACCGCAGGCAAGGAACCCAGCTGGCCCTCGGCTTTGGATGCTTTCAGGTTTGGAGGTTCGGGCTCAAGGGCTTAGAGGGCTTGCCAGGGCCCGTCGTATGGGTTTAGGGTTTAGGGTTTAGGGTTCGGGGTTTAGGGTTTACGGTTTAGGGTTTAGGCATGAAGCAGCTTCCGGGTTCAAAAGGGTTTAAGGTTTAGGGTGTAGGGTTTAGGGCTTTAGGGTACTTAGAAGACCTGATGTACCCCTTCTGTACCTTCTAGATTCAAGGGCCCATACATCAGAACCCTTCTGAGAAAGGTCTAAGTTCTAAGTGCTAGATCCTAAACCCTACACCCTAAACCTCAACCCTAAACCCTGAACCCTGCAGACCATCTGGGGAGTAGAGGTTCTGAGGTTTTTGGACGCTTTGGGGGCGGGGGGTTCGAGATCTAAGGGCTCCCCCTGGGTAAGCATGCGGCAACGGGGCTCCTTGCGTTTCTGGGGTTTAGGGGTTTTTAGGGTTTAGGGTTAAGGGTGTAGGGTTTAGGGTTTAGGGTTTAGGGCTCAAAAGCCAAGGTACACCAGCGTCTGCTACGGCACGTGCCAAATACCTGCCCTGCAGGTGCGCACACTGGACCCGCAGCCCAAACCCCAAAACGCTCGATACTCTAAAGCACCCCAAGGCCCCCCGCCACCCCAGACAGGGTTCAGGGTTCAGGGTTCAGGGTTTAGGGTTTGGGGTTTGGGGTTGGGGGTTTGGGGTTTAGGGTTTAGGGTTTAGGGTTACTTGAAACTCTGAACCCTCAGCCCCAAACCCTAAGCAAAAAACCTTAAACCCTAAATCCTAAACTCTGAACCCCAGACCGCTCTAAATCCTAAACCTACACCCTACGCCTGTTAAACATCAGGGAGTCATAGGGGGTCTGGTGTTTAGGGTTTAGGGTGGCGCTCCAAACTTCAAACCCCCTAAACACCGTCACAGCCCTGAGCCCTTAACCCTGTCTGGACTTTTTCCCTACAGTTCAGTAGGAGCTATTACAGCTATTACTTACTTAAATAGTAGGTAGAACCCACAAAAACTGTAGGTAAAGAAGGTTCCCTGGTGAAGCCTAACCCTAAGCCCTAGACCCGAAACCCTAAACCCTAAAAAACCAAACACCAGGTGGACGCAGACTTGGGACCGGGTGGGGCCATGCCGCCCGCGTTCCTCATCATGGAGGCGTCTGACATCCTTACAGGGATAATCCCTAAACCCTAAACCCTAAACCCCCCAAACCCTAAACCCTAAACCCTAAACCCTAAACCCTAAACCCGCACCAAACCGGCCTAGAGTATCCCCAAGAAGAAACCTTACAGGGCTTATGGGGGCCTGGAGGGCCTAGAGGGCTCAGGGGTTCATAGGGCTTAGGGACCCCGAACCCAAAACCCCTAAACCCTAAACCCTGGAGGACATCACGGCTGGCATGAAGGAGCCCGCGGTCTTGGACCTGAAGTTGGGCTTCAGGCAGCGGGCTGCGCATCACGGACCCTCCAAGCGGTCCTCCATGAAAGCAAAATGCGCCCTCGCGCCAAAACTGGGTTTAGGGTTTAGGGTTTAGGGTTTAGGGTTTAGGGTTTAACCTCATTTCGCCTGTTCATGCAACCCTTGCTAAAGGCAAGGAGGCCCTGCTTTCAGGTGTTGCCGGCAGCCTGGCTTAGAAAGGGTTTAGGGTTTAGGGTTCAGGGTTTCTGACAGAGAGACCTGGTGCAAAAAGGGTTTATGACACTGTCTGGCTCCTAAGCCGGGGGTCAATATGCTAGGGTTTAGGGGTTTAGGGGTTCTAAACCCGAAACCCTAAACCCTAAACCCTAAACCTCAGGTGCCCGGTCCACGTCGCGGGTCATGGGCTTCCGGCTCTGCGGGCTCCGGTATTTTGATCCGGCGACCCGGAAGATGCGGAAATCCAGCAAGAAAGAAGGACAGGAAGGTTTAAGGTTTAGGGTTTAGGGTTCAGGGTTTAGGGCTTAGGATTTAGGCGTGTCAAGCAGGCAAGAAGGGCTGCGAAGGCTTGTAGGGTTTAGAAACCTTTGCCTGCAAGTATTTCAAGACCTCCTGATCTCTGAACTACGTTAGTTTTGTTCTTCTTCATCGGCTCTTTGTCGAGAATGCGCGCGCCGATGCATATCTGCTTGCAACTTCTGAATGCAGCAAAAGGAATTTCTTGTCCTTTCTGTCAAGAGAGGCCCAGAGCACACATGCCATGTGCCGATTCGGAGGACAGCAGGAGTGCCAGGACAGCGTCCTGGAGAAGCTCCTCGACTACCTGAGGCCCCTGCGCGGCCAATCGCAGGAAGCTGACGAGGCGGATGTGCGCAGCATCCATGAGATTACGGAGCCTCACTCAGCTGAACTCCAAGTTTTTTTTTTTTTTTTTTTTGGGGGGGGGGGGGGGGTGGGTCTTCCGGAAGTAATTTCAGAAAGAAAAATTATGTGCATATGTTCAATTTGCAGTTTGTCTTTGTTTACACACACATGTATACATACACATAATCACACATAAAGTTTGGGGCACCTTTTTGCTTCCTTCTTCTCGTCCCCTGGCTTTCTTTGTTTGGGGTTTAGGGTTTAGGGTTTAGGGTTTAGGGTTTAGGGTTTAGGGTTTAGGGTTTCTCATAAGGAGCTCCTGGGCGACCTGTCCGACGTGATCCGGCAACTCCCCGGCTTCCGCTTCTGGGGCTGCTCCCTGCTGCTCGCAAGGGACGTCAGCTACTGCTTTGGCCAGGGAGGCCCAAAGAAGACGGTCTGCAACTTAGAGGGATACTTGTAGGATTTTTTTTTTTATTTTGGGGGGGGGGGGGGTAATTCCTTAAGAAGCTTATTTCTGGGGTACCATGATTCCTTAAGAAACAGCTAAAAAGTATGATTTTTTCTACGGTTCCAAGTTCAGCAGAGGCAAGCTCATCGATTTCTCCAACTTTCACATGACCTACGGCGACACGGTGGATCTGGAGTTCCTGACCGTGCTGGAGAATGTCCAGAGGTGCTTGGCCCACTGCGCTGCAGGGACCGACATGGGTGAACTCCTGCACGCACCCGATCTTAGGTTCCAGGAGCCTCGGCCTGCATGTAGAAGATGCTGGTTCTTGTAAACCCTAAACCCTAAACCCTAATCCCTAAACCCTAAACCCTAAACCCTAAACCGTAGTTCAGGAGATCGGGGGTTAAGGCTTCCAAGTTCCAATCTTTTCTCTTGTTAAGACCGGGCTTTGGGCGTGGGAAGCCGTAGGGAACAGGCGTCACATCTGCAGCAGCAGGCACAGGGTTTAGGGTTTATAAGGGTTTAGGGTTTAGGGTTTAGGGTTTAGGGTTGCAAGGATGAGGGATGAGCCCCTCACGTATCTGGCCTGCCAGAATCAAAACCCGAAAACCTTGCATGCCAGGTGACACCCCTAGAACAACCCTTTGACCTTGGGTGATGTTGCCCCTTATACTAGCAGTCCTTAATGGGGTAGCAGTACCCCCCCCCCCCCTAGTATAATCCCTATTAAGGGCTGTGAGCATGAAGGGGAAACATCCCAACTTTGAGCCCTTGAGCCCCCATATGCCACCTCCGAAGGACCTGGAGCAGGTTGGGGTCAAGGAGAAGCGCGTGGGGGCAGCGGGCCGGTTGCTTCTCAACGCTGCCTTGGGCGAAGCCGACGGCCACGTGGCCTCGGGCAAAGTGCACGAAGGTCAAGGGCTTCGGGAAGGCCCCTACGCAACAGAAGTCATCTAGGTAGTTCTCTAAACATTCTGTTTGGGGGTCTCTGTCATAGTACAGCCCCTCTTTGAAAGGGACCGCCAGTCAGGCTGAAGCACCCAAAAGCTTGGTCCTCGTTCGTGCGACCCGAGTAGTTTTGGCACTTGGTCCTCGTCTTGTGACCCGAGTAGTTTCGAGACCGCCTTCCAGATTCGCATTTGCGCCATCAGGCAATGGGAATGCCTCGCCCTGGGCACCTTTGCGCCGCCTGGACAGGCATAGTGCCGGCTACCGATCGGGGTTCTGCATAAAGCTCAAACCCTGAACCCTTTCTTCTAAACCCTAAAACCCTAAACCCTAAACCCTAAACCCACGAGGGTTTTCTCCCAACTTCCGAACAATAGACCCCGCAGTGCTGTGGCTAGTCGGGTGGCACAAAAGAACCCCAAGCCCTAAGCCCTAAACCCTAAACCCTAAACCCTAAGCCCTAAGCCCTAAGCCCTAAGCCCTAAACCCTAAACCCTAAACCCTACACCCTACACCCTAAACCCTAAACCCTAAACCTTGCAAGCTGCACTGTAAAGCAGCCTCAAGCTCCTCCTTCGGCTCCACCTTATAAGAACGGTTTAGGGTTTAGGGTTTAGGGTTTAGGGTTTAGGGTTTAGGGTTTAGGGCCGCAGGGCCCGAGCTTCGACCGTGCTCCGAGGCACCATTGCGCTGCCATGCGCCTCCGTCTTGAACTCCGGGGGGCAACCCGTCCCCCCGGCGCGCAAAGTGGTGCAGTCACCTTCGCTGTATGCTCCGCCACGCAGGGTGTAGGGTTCATGGAGCTTTCAGACAAGTTGTACTTAACCTTCGAATTCTTTGGGGATCCCCACGGCATATCCTTTTTTTGGTGTAGAGTTGCTAGAACTTTCCGCAACGTGAGCCATTCCGCTCCCTCGTGTGGCAAGTTTGCTTCGGTACAGTGTCTATCTTATCTTCATTTCGCACGGTTCCCCCATGAAACTGGAACCCTAAACCCTAAACCTTATAGAACTTTGACTCAAATTCCGCCTTCCCCGCCCGGAAACCTGGAGGTCTTATACAGGCAGAACTCAACTTACTGAGGGTTTAGGATTTTAGGGTTTAGTAAACCCTAAACCCGAAACACGAAACCCTAAAACCTACCGCTGAATCCTCGGGCTGCGGGCGGACGGGCCCTATAGGGCCCTAGGGGCAACGCACTGCGCACACAGGTGGCCCCGAGCCCTGCCCAAGTCTGCAAGTGCCCCATGGCTTTGCTGAGGGTTTAGGGTTTAGGGTTTAGGGTTTCAGGGGGGGTTTAAGGATTAGGGGTTTGACCCCGCATGATCGGGCCCTTGCCATACTTGGTGGCCGCGCTGCTGTTGTTCAGTCCAGCAGCCGGCCCAGAAGCTAATGCCCCCCCATGGCGCGATGCCGGTGTATGGGCACCGATACGTCGTTTCACCTAGCCAGCTAGCTATTTGCACCCGCGCCGGCACGGCCCGCACTCAAAAAGGCCGTGTCCGATCCCTGATCTATGATCCCTAGCTCGCGAAGTCTCAAGGGTTAGGGTTAAGGGCCTGTCACGAAGCTCAACCCAAGTCCCCTTATCATATTACCATGTTGTCATATTATTACGTCCATATACTATGTTCGTACATAATAATACGTTTCATTTTAGTAAGAATATATTTTTTTGTAGTATGATACTCTCATTAGTATATCTTTTCTACCTTTGAACATTCACGTAGCCCGCCATCCCAAAACTTCCTTTCCCAACCCCTCCACTATAACCCTGATCCCCATAGCCCTAAACCCTGGGCCCTAAACCCTATTACCCCATAACCTTACAATCCCTAAACCCCATAATCCCATAGTTTCAGCTCATCGGGCCGCCTATATATATTTAGGATTTTAGGGGGTAGGGCTTCGGGTTTTGGTGGGTTCCGGCTTGGGTTGAGGGTGCATGTTCTGGAGGGCCAGAGGTACGACCGGCCCATGTTGCACAAGCTCACATTTGTTAGGGTCTACTCGGAGGTTCATGGTACATAGAACCCAATTTTAACGGCACTTACAACCCACTTTCAAGCCCTAAGGTGGTTAAAATTGGGTTAAAAGTACAGTTACAATTGGGTTATTACCATGAACCTCCAAGTAGGGTTTAGGTTTATAGGGGCACCTAGACTCAGACCGAAACCCCCATCCACTGCGGGATGTCTGCTTTACTAACATTGGGGGGGTACTGTGGCCCGTTGGGGAGAAGCTTGGGATCCTTATGATAGTATGGGGATCCTAGAGCAACCGCCCCTTATGGAGCTGGACTTTAGGTTTTTTATGATTTTAGGCTTTAGGGCACCAAAAACAAAGCCCCAAACCCCACATCCTAAACCCTAAGCTCTAAACCGTCCCTAAACCCCAAACCCTAAACCCGAAACTAACCCTAAACCCCACACCCTAAGCCCTAACCCTAAACCCCAAACCCTAAACCCTCCCGCACGCCAGGCCTAGACATGACGCCTCTCGCAACGGACTTGTTCCGTGTGCGCTTGGTTGCGCGCTCGACCGGCCTAGCGTACTGGGGTTCAAAAAGGGTGTAGGAGGTAGGAGGTTTAGGGCTTGAGGTTTAGGGTATAAGGATGTTTAGGGTTTCGGAGATAGGAGGTCTAGGGCGTAAGGTTTAGGGTATAAAGGAGGCTTAGGGTTTAGGATTAGGGTTTAGGGTTTAGGGTTTAGGGTGGTAGGAGGTTTAAGGGTTTAGGGGCTTAGGGGTTTAGGGCTTGGGAGGTTTAGGGTCTACCTCGAGAGTGTGGTCGTAGGGTTTTTGCGGGCACAAGGGGGATCGGAGAGGGTTTAGGGTTTGGGGTTTAGGGTTCAGGGTTCAGGGTTCAGGGTTTAGGGTTTAGGGTTTAGGGTCTAGGGCAACCGTCCGCAGCTTGGTTCAAAGCATAGCTGTTCCGGAATGGCAGAGACAGCACTTGTGATTCTTCCGACCAAGTAGCAGATCCTATGGTCCCCCTACCCCAGGGTTTAGGGTTTAGGGTCCAGCAAGCACTCAACCCCGGTTGAGAAGTGGGAGTGCGAGCTGCTGCAAGGCCACATGACAGGAGGCGCCAGGGCGTCTGAAGCAGAGAGTGCGCAAACCGGAGGAGTCGCCCCGAAAGTTGCCTTTGGGGATTGAAGGCTTATAGGGTTGCGGTTTCAGGCTACTGGTTTAAGGTTTACGCTATAGGGAACCCCAAAAAGGGTACCCTTTCTCAAGCAACCAATCCCAGAAACATCATCTAAGCGGAGGCGAACTAGGTGTCGAGCCACCACCCCAAAAAGGGCACTTTGCTTCTCAAGCAACCAACCCGGAAAAAGGGTCCCCTTCTTAAAATAATGGTTGGTTACTGGGCTGTCAAGCTCCCCAGGCACGCGCGTCCTGAAGTGATGGCTCCCGGGCCGCCACTGACCTTCGGCTAAGACCAGACGATGGGGGGGGGGGGGGGCTGCGGGGGGGGGGGAGGGGTTATAGGGTTCTATAGGGCTTTCAAGGGGTTTGTAGGGTTTAGAGGGTCTGTAGGGGTTTCTAGTTATGGGAGTTGGGGTTCAGTAAGGGTTGAACCTTGACGAGACATGGGAGATGGCGGCTTGGTGTTGATCAGCATTCTTTTTGGGTCTGTTACAGTGTATTCCGTATAGTCCAGGGCACCGATCTGCAACCCTTACAGCGATCAAAGCCCTGAGGTTTAGGGATTAGAGTTCAGGATACCCTTTCAGCTCAAAGCCCGAATCCCAACACTCTGATACAAGGGCCTGGTCTCAGACAGCTTCTTGACCCGAAGGTTCGTCCCTGAGGCTTTCTTGGTAGTTATTATTAACTTTGAATTTTGGGGTTTAGGGTTTTAGGAGCTGGGCAAGAAGGGCAGCAGTCGAGTCCCTTGTTACAAAAGGGTGTAAAGCTGGCTCCTGTCTTGGGCTGGACTGCTAGGTTTTAACTCCGTTATTCTCCTCGCCAGTGTCTCGTAGTGCCCACCCCCACCAGGAGGGTCCCAGAGAAAAATCTCGCAGAGCATCCGCGAAGTGCTTAAACCCGGACAGCCGGACATAAAATCCCAGAGTGCATAACAATGTACGCCTTCATGTGCAGCAGGGGGCAAAAAACAAGACATCTGCATCCGAAATTCATGGGGTACATATGGGGCAGACGGCCGGCCCTTGAGAGCCCCAAGAAGAAGCAGACAAAGGCGAAGAAGTAAAAGAAGAACAGCAGTAAACCACAGCCGCCCTGACCTCTAGATTAAACTTTGAACCTTAAACCTTGAACCTTAAACCTTGAACCCGCCTGAACCCTCAACCTTTCGAAAGACGTCCCAGGCTTGCCGTTACGCCGGAGGCTCCTGGTTGTTTTTGGGTTTTCCGGACTTCTGATGCGGGTGCACTCTGTGTAGTGATCAAAGGGCCCAAGCGAAGCCAAGTGCCGAGCCTTCACTGGTTCTCTGGCACATGCCTTGCACCTTTTTTTTGTGTTTTTCGGGTAGGGTCTGTGCCATAAACCCTAATCCCTAAACCCCAAACCCCAAACCCTAAACCCTAAACCCTATAAACCCTAAACCTATAAACCAATATGGACCCCTTTTGACACCAGGCGTCGCAGCCGGGCAGTACGCGAGCGTCCCGACCAGGTGACTCGGGTAGCGATTGGGCAGCAACGCTGCAATAGCTGGTGCCAGTGCCCCCCCCCCTCCCCCCACCTTTATGAAGTATGTGGGTAGTTATAAGTAGGGCTATAAGTACCCTAAGGAAGGTTATGACCAGTTGTAGGAAAAGGTACCTTACTTACAGACCACTTGTAACTTCCCATGCACCTCCAAGTAACCGAGTTGTGGAGAAGTGTTGAGGGAAGGCGCACACGTTGAACAAAGCTCAGCTTCATGAGGACACGCGCAAAGATGGATACAGACAGCTAGTGGCACGTCTGACTACAGCAGAACCGTAGTTGCTTGCATGGTGCATGCCTGTTGCGCACACGCTGAAGCTTGCAGAGTCTTTTTGTGCCTTGGCACCCTTGTTAGTGTGGCCGGTTGCTTTCTCTGGTGTATGTCCTTACTATCACGATGCTGCTAATTTTTGGTTTTGATTTTGCTGCTCAAACGAAGCCTTTCTGGTGATGGCGTTTGCACCCTAGACCCTAACAGGCTTCTTTCTACTGCGCTCCTGCTTGTGGTGATGAGCTGACCGGCTCTGTAGTGGCTATGTCGCCCAAGACCCTGACTTACCCTGACTAGGGAATTCAGGAAGAAGATCTGTTTAGGTTCTTTAGGGTAAACCCTAAATCCTAAACCCTTTAAACCCTAAACTTAAAGCTTTAAACCCACACCCCTCCCAGAGCCTGCCCAGGCAGTCAGAGCAGGCGCGCCAGTCTGGAGGAGCGGCAGAGGCGCGGCAGGAGTCTAGGCTTTGGGGGTTTGTTGGGGGTTTCAGGTCTAAGGCTTGAGGGGTTTTTGTGGGCGTATAATGGGCTACTAAGGCTTAGGGCCTAGGGGTTTGGTTCAAAGGGCTCTTGGTGGGGTTCACCCCTAAACCCTGAAGGGGAGGTGGGAGCCCAAGCCTGTTGGGAAGCGGCGGCAAAGCGCTTAGGGAGAGAAGGGCTTCGGGCTTCGAGGGGGTTTATAGGGTTTGTAAGGTTAAGACGGTTAAGAGGGTGTGGTGCGTGTGACTCATTCGATCGGTTGTTAAGGTTTCCTGAGGGCTCTGGGGGGTTCAGGCTTAACCATGGGATAGGCAGAGTCTGCTTTAGTCTTTTCAGGGCTTAGTCGGCGTAGTGTTTAGGTCAGACAGCCCACTGAAGGTAACTACAGTACGCGCAGCACAGGCCGACTCCCTGACCGTTTTAGGCTTGAGGGCTTATGGTTTAGGGAAAGCGAAACCCTCGATTACATCTAGGCTCGGGGGTGTTGCTAGAAATCCTTGTTGCAACTGGCCTTAGGCAGCTAGTTTCGGCTCGAACTGCTAAGATGTACCCTAGGGTTGTGAACCCTCATCAATAACCATTCTCAGGACTACATCCAGAGAACCTTGGCACGACTACACCCTTGACCCCTTTTTGCAACCCTACACTGCCCTACACCCTATAACATCCTTCTCTCGCTCTGAGGGGGGGTGCAGGATTTTGGTCCAGGTGTTGGGATTCAGGGTGGAATTGGCTTAGGGGGCAAGAGCCTTGTGGGCCTTGCGTATCCAACCGGCCTTGTCAAGGTCAGACGGCCGAAATGCTGAGGAGCTGGGACGCCGTGGATTTTGTTATCTTGTTGCTTCTGTTGGGGGCGTTTCCTAGGACCGGGAGTAGGCCCTTGTTCCCTTTTTTTTATAGGGTTGGGTTTCCCTTATAATCCCCTTAAAGCCAAAAAGTCACCCCTTTTTATTCCTAGGTTACTCCGGGGTCTAGTTTCTTCGTTGCATTCCCGGTCATTCCTTTCGAAGTTCCCAGCCTGGCAAATCCGAACCTTGGGGTTTGCGAGGTGCAGAACGTGGTTCATGGGTAGTTAGAAGTAGGGTGTCAAGTGCCCTGAATAGGGTTCTAGCCAGTTAGAATTTTAGTTACGTACCATACCTATAACCTCACTTATATCTACACATGAACCTCCAAGTATGGTTTGGGCGCAAGAACTCGTGCCGATTCAGCGCGTCAGCTCCTAAAACGTCAGATGCTCGAGTTCGGAGCCGCACCATGACCCTAAACCCTAAACCCCAAACCCCTAAACCCCTAAACCCTAAACCCTAAACCCTAAGCCGCTTGCGCGTGCGCCCAGCGCCCGCGTCGCGCGCGCGGAGGAGCGGCGGAAGTCGGAGCTGGAAGCGCTTCGAGCGGCCAACGAGCTGCGCCTCGGCAGATTTTCGGGCTGAGGTGCCGGGATGAGGTTGGTGGGTAGGGTTTAGGTAGTAGCTGAATGAGTACACTCTACACTTTTTGGGATACCATATATCCCCTATAGAACTGAAAGTGAATATCGTATTTGGGGCTTATCAAGAGCAACTAAGTTTAGGGTGGTGAGTTTGGCACTGCTGGCCAGGCTCATGGAGTTTCGCAACCGCTGCACAACCTAACCATTCCTGGGAGCAAACGCACATCTTCCTCTAAAGCTTTGATACCCCAACATCCCTTAACAGTGTCCTGAAGCCCGAAGCCCCTCTCATAGGTAAAGGCCCTCTAAACCCCAGGTCCTACACCCGAATGTTGTAAGAAATCAGGCCAGCCAACAAAGAAACCCTAAACCCTACATCCCACAAGACGAAAAACCTGAACCTTCTTTCAAAATTCGAAGCCCAGGCGCGAGTTTGTCACTCAAAAAGAGGGATCCGCCCTGAGGGCATGGTGCAGCTTCGCAGCATTCTAGCAGACACTGCGAGCATTGGGGGGGGGGGGGGGATTCGGGAGTTTGGCGTGTAGGGTGAAACTGGGGTGAGGGGTTCGGCTCGAGGTGTATAGGGTGTGCAAAACTAAGGGTTTGGTGGATTCTTCGTGGGTTTTTGGCCCGCCGCGCTCTGCGTGCTACATCCCATGCGAAGTCCTACCAAGCCCAGACAAGGGTTTACTCTGTGAACAACCGGAACCACCCGCCCCTCCCAGATGATCAGATAGGTTTGGGCCGTGTTGTCCATCTCAAGGTTTGGGGATAACAGTTTGTTCCGAGGCAAGCACTTCGACCCCGACAACGACCAGAAGATCAGCCAGAGCCAATTCTTGCGAGGCCCGAACCGGCTGTGTTGGGGGTTCATGGCTTAAGAACCCAATTCTAAGCCCCTTAAGTGCCCTAATGCGGTTATAGTTGGGTGCAGTTATTATTGGGTAATAAAAGCACCATGAACCTCCAAGTGGGGGTTCTGATTGATGGGGCGTTAGTGCGAGCTTTGAGATTTATGGTTGAGGGTTCTGGGCTCTGGGTTCAAAGGGGCCGCTTCAATAAGAATCGTCATTCAGGAGCAGTTTATGCTGTAGGTAACTATTTGGGATTCGAAGAGAGCAGAACCTAAGACCCTGTATCCACTGGGACTTATTTGGCCTCTTGTATTCGAGCCCCGCGGGAGCGTGGCCCTGCGAATTGGCCCTAAACTCCAAACCTTATATTACAACCCCCAAACCCTGAACCCCAACAACCCGAAAATCGCCCTGAACCGTACTGGCCCTCAACCCTACTCCTTGAACCTCACAGCCTAAACTCCTAAACCCAACAAACCTTAAGCCCCATTCACCCCCCTACCCCCAAACCCCTAAACCATGTAACCGCCAAATCCTAAACCACAAACCCTAAACCTCCCAAAGCCCTAAACCCTAACCCCTAAACCCTAAACCCTAAACCCTAGCCCTAAACCCTAAACCCTAAACCCGAAACCCTAGCCCTAAACCCTATAACCCGAAGGTATGAGCAAGATGGGCTACTCGGGCGACGCCGCTGCCCTCTTCAAGTCGCTGGACGCCGACCGCTCTGGAGAACTCTCCCTGGAGGTGGGGGTTGTCGGGGTTTAGGATTTAGGGCTACGGTTTAGGGTTTAGGGTTTAGGGTTTAGGGTTTAGAATTTAGGGTTTAGGGTTTGGGGTTTAGGGTTTGGGGTTTGGGGTTTAGGGCTTATAGGGCTTATAGGGCTTATAGGGCTTATAGGGCTTATAGGGCTTTTAGGGCTTATAGTGCTTATACGGCTTATAAGGCTTATAGGGCTTAAAGGGCTTATGGGGCTTATAGGGCTTATAGGGCTTATAGGGCTTATAGGGTCCAGTTGCGCTTGAGAGAGAGCTCGTTCAAAAGGGTTCAGTTGCGAAAGGGTTGAGGGTTTAGGGTTTGGGGTTGGGAGGTCATACGGTTTAGGGCTTAAGGGTTTTGGAGCTTGGGGGTTTGGGGCTTAGGGCTTGGGGGTTTGGGGGTTAGTTCGGGTTTATATTGTTTCGGTCTGACGGGTATAAGGTTGGGGGGGGGTTTGGTGGTTTAGGAGGTTTAGGGTTTGGGAGGGTGATTTTTTGGGGTTTGGCAATTGCGGGGGGTCTCGGGGTTTGTGGTTTTCGGGGTTTAGGGTTTGGGATTTAGGTGGAGGGATCCGGATGCAAAAGCAAGCGGGTTCAGGTTCGGGGGATAGGGTACAGGATGAAAGGGTGTAGCGGGGCTTATGGAGCGGTTTAGGGTTAACCCTAATTCGGCTCAGGGGCTCAGAGGTAGAGGGCCACAGGTTCTTTTGGGGCTTGTAGGGTTTAGGTCTTGGGGTGCGAGGTGTAAGGGTTTTGGGGGAGTCTGCGGCAGAGATCTTGCGGATTCAGGCCGGTTTACGTAAGGCTGACCGTGGGCTACACTCACAAGCTTTCCAGAAAGCTCCAAGCCTTTAGAAACCTACAACAGTAAGCCCCAAAACCTCTCAGTTCAGCCCTGGCCACCAGGAGATGGACGCCTACGCGTCGGGCCAGTGGCGTCGCTTTCGCGTCCCGCAGATGCAAGACTGATTTTGCAGTGGTCAGGGATGTTTGGGAAGGATGGGTGACCATGCCATAGGGGTATCGCTGCTACATCGGAGGCAGTGCTCCGGCCCCTCCATCCAGCTTTGTGTTTGCCAGGAAGGCTGCTGAGGTTCCACACCCTGAACCGCGAACAAGCCAAACCCCCCAAAACCCTCAAAATCCCCAAGCCCGAAACCCCAAACCCTAAACCCTAAACCCCTAAACCTCCCCAGCTCCAACGAGTGTCGCTGCCGACTGATGGCGGTGTGATCGGAGGAAGGGAGTCGTCGGTGGTATTAGGTCCGCTCAGGCCCCTTACCCTTCAAATTGTTCGGGACCATTGGGAAGCAAAGGCAGACAAGCCCTTACAGATCAAACCCCTAAACCTCCCTAGAAGCCCTCACAGATGCCAGAGACGCTTGCCCCCCTAGAGGCCTTCTGTGTCCAGAACTTCGAGGATCCCGAAGACATGGTCCGGCGACTGGGGAAGAAGGCGGGGGCTCTAAGCCCGAAACCTGAAAGCCCAAGCCCAATAAGGTTGAGGGTTTAAGGGTTTAGGGTTCGGGGTGTAGGGCAACAAAAGCCTCAAACCCTCAACCTTACGCATGATGCTTTGGGGCTTCAAGGGCTTGAAGGCTTTCGGGATGTTCGATTTCAAGACACCCCCCGTTTGCTCGCAAGGGGAGAATCATGTGCACTAAGAAGACACCCCAAGCCCTAAACCCTATACCCTAAACCCTAACCCTAAACGCCAAACCCGAGACCCTAATCGCAAATTGGACTTCCAGCCAGCTGCAGCCAGGTGGAGATCGAGAAGCGCCGGGGTGGCGCGCAGGAGCGAGTGCAAGTGAGACTGCTGGGCTTGTTCGTAATATTCTTGTGGGCAAATGTATCTAGCACTGGTATGTTCGGCAGTCTAAAGTATATTGTTGATACAGAGGCTTATCTCATTGGTAATTGTTCGGCCTTTGTATGATGTGGGTTTGGATTTGGTTTCCAGGGCTAACCGTTCGCCCCCCCTCCTGCCTTCCCTGAGAGACTGCCCTAAGCCCAAAATCATCTACATCAAAGTTCTTCGGAGGTCCTGCAAGGTGGCCCGGACATTTGGACGGTGACCCTGGCGCAGCCGCTTGGAGAGCACGTGCCAGGCATAACAGGTTGAATCACCTGTGGTCAACTCCCTCACACGCAGAGACGGCGACCTATGATGCACCCAAAACCCTGAACTGGCCTAAACCCTATATTCCCTACCTCCGGAGCCCATACCCTGGCTTTCTGGTAGGTGGCCTAAGAATTCTATAAGGGGATGTATATTCCGAAGGTTTGGTTTTGGGGTAACCTATGCCAAGGTTCACTGAGAATGTTCGCGCACTCGGCTGGAGCAGTGGCTACGAGGCCCCTGCACCTTTTGGGCCTTTTATCTACTGTTTGCTTAAGAGCCACCAGAAAAGAAAAATATTCTTCCCTACAAGAGTAACAAGGGGATTATTATTTTTATTATTTTTGGTGGGGGGTTCTTAAGCAGATAGTAGTTCATGGTTTGATTTGCATGGCTTATGCGTGCTACCGGTATGAAGTACTTAAGGCGTCCCCCATGTTCAGTTCTGAGGAGACTACGATGTTCACCCTTATGCTAGCGGTCCTTAAGCGGGATTCTAGTTCCCCCTGTTATAACCCCTATTAAGGACTGTTAGTTTAAGGGCGAACATCCCAAGCAAGAGGGCTTAAGTCCAATGCACTTTGGAGGACATGATCTTCCCTGCGATGAATGTCCACGACAAAGAGGCGATCTCGGTCGAAGCGGCTTGTCAAGCAAGTTGGCCTTAGGGCTTCCCGAAACCCTAACATAAACCCTGAACTTTTAGGGTTTGTAGCTTTTTGCGGATCAGGGTGTCAGACACCCCCGGGTGCCCGCCTGCAAGTCATGTCATGGCCCGAAGCCATGAAAGCCTGAACACCCGCTTTCGCCTCTCACTAGGGTTTCGGGTTTAGGGTTAGGGGTACCTATTAACCAGTTATAACTGTACTTATACATATATATATATATAACCCACTTGTATAGGCCCCTTAAGTGCATATATTGTTGTTCTCCTGTAATTGTGCTGAGGATTTAAAGTGGCTGGAGATGGAGCAGAGGCGGCAAAAGCGTAAAGAGCTCGCAAAGAAGAAAGCCTTGCAGGAGCTTTGGGGAGGCAGTATCAACCTGTACGCTCAGAAGGCAGCTGGAAGAATCCCGACCCTCATATCCAAAGCATCCCACCCCGCCCAAAGTTAAGAGATACCTCAGAACAGAATGGAGCTCTATACCCCAGAAAACATGGTAACGCTGAAGCCGCGACACCAACAACCGGGTGCTCTGAAGCTGTGTCAGGAGAACCACAAGAGGAACAAAGACGTGCACTTCAAGGGCCGCGAGGCCGGCTGTGCTTGGGCGAATCCAAGTCTGACTCTCATGTACTCCTTCCAAACAAAGCCTCAAGAACAAGCTATTAAGAACCTAGACATCCCACAGCTCGAAACCCGACGTAAACCGTGGGAGCGAAACAAATTTAGAGGCCCCGAGCCCTAAACCCTAAGCCCTAAAACAAATTTAAAGGCCCTAAACCCTAAACCCCAAGCCCCAAACTTCTTGCTGTTCCTCTTGGCCTCCGCCCCTTCAACGCAAGGCCTGCCTGGCCGACTTCAAGCAGTACCTCCGCCGGAAGTACGGCAGCTTCCTGCGCGCCTGGTTCAAGGACGGATTGGGGTTTCGAGTTGCCCTAAACCCTACAATCCTAAAACAGGAAACCCTAAACCCCAAACCCTAACCCCGAACTTTCCAAGAGGTCCAAGATGCCAAAAGGGTTTACGCTCCTAAATGAGCAACAAAAAGGGGCTGCGACTGGGTTGAAAAAGGCTTTAGGCAAAACGGGTTTAGGATCTAGGGTTCAGGGTTTTTCGGGTTTGGGGTTAAGGGCTTAGGGTTTAGGATGCATTGAGAGCCGCAACTTCCATCCCGGGCCGACTACCCAAGCCCTGATGCAAAAGGGTTTAGGATGTAGGGCTTAGGGTTTAGGGATACTTAGCCAATGGATGAACTCTAAACTTTCTGGGTCAGAAGCAAGTTGGGTGAGGGCTTGTGCAAGGGGAGTTCAGGCGTGTCGGGCTTTAGGGGGGGTTGGAGCCTGAAGTCTCATCGCCATGCTTCCAGAAAGATGGGTTTAGGGTTTAGGGTTTGGGACCCAACTTACAGCCCTTTCTTGGACAGTTTTATTTGCTGGCTTGGCGCTTGGCGTCCCGCTCTTGAGAAATCCCGTTGCCCTCCCTGCCTCTGTAAGAATCACAAAGACGAACCTTATGATTGGAACGGTAGCGCAATTCTTCCCAATTCCTAAACCCTATAGGCCCACAACACACCGTTGTTTTTTTATTTTCACGCTTGTTGGAGAAGTATGCCCCTTCTTCGCAGGCACTGAGCCCGGAGGGCGCCATGATTCTCCATCGCAGCGAAGTCTTCAAGGCTTGGGACATGGGGGTTAGGGTTTTGCAGGCTTTTGGAAGTTTAGGGTTTAGGGTTCAGGGCTGTTAAGGCTTTACTGTAGGTTTTTTGGGTTTAAAGTTTCCTGCTCGGGGAAAAGCAAAGAAGCCGCGAGAAAAGGGTGTGCCATCCAAGCAGTTGAGCACGAGCGTCGTCTTTCAATTAATTATTTGACAACGACAGCAAGCGCGATAATATAAACAACGATCATATTGCTGCAATATGTTTCACCCCTGGAGGCTTGCGCTCACCTGGGTTGGCCAGGGGACGTGCGACTCCTATTCTCCGCCTTTGACAAGGCTTTCGGAGCTTCTTGGAGTTGGGGATTGGGAGCATCGCTACCCTGAACTCTGAAAAAGGTATTCTCAGGGACTGGGTAGGTAATCTTTAACGTTTTCGGTTAGAACGAATCCTACTATACATAAAAGGTGAACCTTTTTTGGGCTAGGGTATTCAGCCCCTAAGAATTTAACAACCCCACTGCCCACATCAACCTAGCCTAAGCTCGGTGCATCCGGCCTTACACCGAAATACATAACTGTCTCTTTTTTATCTTTGTCGAGGCCCTCAGCATCTTTACGTTTTCATGTGCCATTCGGTTGCTTACCATTGTTATTGTATTGATAGGTGGCTCTTCCATTTGATGCTTATGTATATCATTGCACTTGCTGCTCTTTGTGGTGGGGGTGGGCGGGAGATATGAGGGTTCAAAAGCCTGGAAGAACCCCCTGACAAGAAAACCTCCTGCCAACCGACAGGACAACAGCGGCTACGTGTCCATCGAGGACCCAATGCTGTTTTTTTCCTGCAGGTCGTGGATGCATTTGCTCAGCCAGACTCAGGGGTGTGCATAAAAACCCTGAACCTCAGGGAGCCCAAATCGTCTTGTTCGGGGACAACTTAGGTTTCCAGCAAATGAGGGCCCAGGGTGACTCTTCGAGGAAATGACAAGCACTCGTCGTGCATTCCAGCAGAGGCAGCACAGACTCTTGCCTCCAAAGGCTCAGAATCGCGTCCTTAGTTACTTCCGTCCGACATCTCCTCCTGATCCGTGAGCAGGAACTCGACGCTCGCGCGGCCGAACTGCTGGCTCACTTCCATGACTTCGTCATGAGTGGCTTGGATTTGTGTTGGGTTTCACGGGGGCTCTGTTGGCCGGTTCCGCTGACACAAACTTGCTATGCCTTGCCGGCTTGGGGAACTTTTCTGGACTGTTGCTTCCACTTCTGGTATTCAGCAACATGAGTAGACGTGATGAAGGATACTAGCTGATACTAGCTGATGAAAGATGCCAGCTTCCAGTGGCGCAATGAATTTGGTTGGGCTGGTCCAGCAGTGTTTCTCTTCGTCCTGACCTTGGACACCAAGAGCCTCCTGGAACCCCGCTGACGGAGCTGCCTCACCCTTAAGCTGTTTTGACAAGGTGTCCTGAAAACAGCCGAGGTAAGTTTGGCAACGCCACTGCTGCCTTCAAGGCGTTCGACCGATACAACCAGCCCCTTGGCCTCATCAAGCAGCGCAGGCCATAATCGTAGCCACAGATAAGGCAGACATACCGCAAGGATAGGCCAATGGTCGATGAAGAAGAAGATCACGATGCTGATGATGATGATGATGATGATGACGATGCTTATCATTGCCGTCGTTTCTTCATCACAAGCTGCCCTGACATTATTATGAAGCATGAACGAGTCCCATCCGTCTGTCCGGGGCCGGCTGTTGTCCACCGTTTTGCCCAGGAAGAAGCTGAAGCAGCATGAGTTCATCAGCCAGGCGGGTGGGGGCCATTGCGTTTGACCGATGGTGCAGTTGTTCTGTTGTGCTGGAGGAACCCAGCCATGCGTTCTGCACAACTGATTGAAGGTTGCATGTTGTGTTGCCATACGTCGCCATAGCGCGCTTGTCGATCATGCGCCGGCAGATACCACCAGGCAAAATGTCTGGCTAAAGTTGCCTGCATCCTTTGCCCAATGCTTAAAACTAGGCGTGGCTTTCACCCCTGGCTTGCTAGTTGCTGAACACCAGTTCCCACATCCCACCCATGGCCCATGGCATGCTCGCCCTGAGAGAAGGTAAAAAGCCATGGCTTCCAACATCCTGCAAAGCTTCTTTTCCATGGCCTGGACCACAAGGAAATGAAGGCGCACCGGGTTTCTCAAAGATGAGTGGGCCCCCTTTTTGCTCGGGGTGCCTCTTGCGCACACACCCCCCGGAAGCCCGGAATGGGCGTATTTTGGCTGTTCTGTTGACTTACCGTATCAGGGAATCCATGTTGTCTTAGAGTTCTGCGTGCAGACCAGATTGGCAAGGCGAGCATTGCATTGGAGTGGATTTCGCGGTTCAGGCTAGATGGTTCTGGCAATTCTCTCGCACAGTGGCCAGTTGCAGAGGCAGTGATGCTGGAGGACTTGCTTTTCCTGGATCGCTGGAAGCCGCCGGCATTCCTGACACGCCTGCTGAGCTGCAAGCAATCCATTCAGCGTTGTGGGGGTGCACCGGACTTATGGAACTTGATGGTGAGGGTGTAGTCAGGCTTTGTGCATAATGGCTCACGGGCTGCCCTGATCACTGCGAAAATCTACATGAAGGGAGCTACAATCCTGTTCGAGCCGAATCTTTGTCATCAAGGCGAGAAGCGTAGTTGTAGATAGGTATGTGTTGTTTTTGCATCCGTGGTCGTGGTATCTGTTGGGCTGTATAGCTCCACATCTGTGTCCTGTCACACGGCACCACATGCCAAGAGCAATGCAAGATGCCCGAAGTCACCACACGCAAGAAGCATGCAGATCACGTGCCTCCCGCCGCAGTAGCCTCATTTGGGCGATTCCTTTCAGACTTTCGACTGCTGTCAGCCTCAGGAAGCGCCAACCCACAGGCCATGGAGGAGTTCAAATCACTGCCCCTCCTCTACAGGGTGCAGGGCAGTTGAGCACTGTTGAAAGATGTGTCTTGTGGGGCGCCGTGGCCGTATGTGACTCATGGAGTCTGACTGGGCTTGGGGAATAATTCGCCTCGGTTAATCTCAAGAAGCTGCGAGCACAGCAGGGGTCGATATCCCTGACCTTCACCCACAGTTCCAGGTTGGTCCGCAACTACAAGAACTTCCTCAAGGCTTGGCGGCACTGCCTGGATCAGGAGCCGCCTGCAGCGATGAATATATTGGTTTCTGGTCTGCGAGCGGCCGGCGTCTTTCGCCCAAGAAAAGCCCGGGCACCTCTATAAACTGCAAAGCTCTCGACTCTCTGGCAACCCCTTCGAAGCTGGCCGTCCGCCAAATTGATGTCCTTTAGCCTGCCGGAAACCCTTCCCTGAAATGCTACACCTCGAACCGTGAGCGCTGAAGCACCAACTCCTCGATAAAAGCCCTACACGTCAGACCTATGTAGACCTAAGACCTAGACTGTAGAAACCCTTACAAACCAACCGATACGCTCTAAACTCTCACCACTCTCAATCTCAAGCCAAAAGCTCAGACTGCAAACCGTCCAAACAGACAGCACAAACCCCAGACAAGAAAAAGCAAGGCTCTGTGAATCCAGACTCTCGGCTCAGGCTTTATCCCTAAACCCTACCCTAAACCCGAATCCCAACCGATCCCCAGACTCCAAAAGCAGAACCACCCACAGGGGCCGGAACCACCACACTGGAAGGGAGTCCCAGACCAGAACGAGGAAGGGGGGCATACGGAGGGTGTCGGCACCAGAATGCCACAGGCCCCTTCTTGCGCGGTTTCCGGTACCGGTACACCTGTCCAGTGTGCTAAGTGAATTCGCGTTGCCAGTCGGAACAACTGTCGGCCAAGCTGTCTTGAGCCCAATTTCGTTGTCTTTGTAAGCCTAGGTTCAAATCGCAAACAACATCAAACAACGTAGCTTAAGCTTAGGGTTTAGGGTATGAGCAGACCTCAGCTTCCAGCAGCCATTCCAGATCACAAGCAACAGCCATGCGGAAAAGGCTGGTCAGGATCCGCCTTCCTTGGCCCGATGCTCGAACATTTGCCTCCATACGCGCTGCAACTTCAGCCGTGTCCCTGCCCAGCTGCCCTACCTACCAGGCTCCTTGCCCTGAGTTGGCCCAGGAATCTGGTGACACATTGGAAGTGCTGCAGCGGAAGAACTTGCAACTGAGGGCAGATCTGCGGACCCTGGGCTGGCCGAAGTTGATTCGTTTCCATGGAGGTGGCCGAACGTATGAGCTGCCACTGCGGACGACCACTGCCATATGTTCAGCGTCGGCAGAAGAATCGACAGCAGCAGTGTTGCCCTACTTGGCTGGCTTCTTTGACGGAGACGGATGCGTGGCAGGCAGGCCTGGAGGGTGTACCTTGAGGGTGACGCAGTCCTACGACAAGGCGGATATACTACTGCTGTTCCGTAGCACATTCGGGGGCAGTATAACTAGAAACTCTGATGGCAAAGGGCTGCGGAAGCCGTCCTTGAGGTGGGTTGTCTGCGGGCCCTCTGCCCGTTCCGCTTCGCAACTTCTGGCCCCCTACAGCATAACAAAACACCGCCAGCTCTTGTTAGCATCGGAGTGGCCTCAAGAGAAGTCCAGCCGAGGAAGCTGTATGGTGGAGTTAAGCTTGCTGAAGCGCGTTGATTCCGCGATCGCTCGCCGATGCTCGGTTGGGTACGTTTCCGGTTTCTTCGACGCAGAAGGTTACATACAGCACAGAGGCAAAGCCACGCTTCGACTTCAGATCGGTCAGAAGTTTGGAACCGTGTTGCATTGTGTGCGAAGATGTTTGGCGCATGACCTCGGATTGCAGGCCCCGGTTCGCAGCTACTCATACCCACCCAGAAGCATTTCCTTTTTGTGCGTCGAGGGCACATCCAACAGCAAGGCAGCGTTGCGTGCTATGTTGGGAGCCGGGATGCGGTGCAAAGCAGCACAAGCAGAGCTGGCATTGCGTTTGAGGCCTGAAAATGCAGAGCAAGTGGGCGCAGCTTTGGCAGAGCTGGTCGGCAACCAGGCATACGGGAAAAGGCAGGACCAGGCAGCTCGGACGAGAGCTTTCAAGATAGCGTCAATGCAAGCGGCCGCTGGGCAACTGAATACCTGGCAGCTGGAAAAGCTCCAAGCGTTAAGAAGCGAGCACGCGCTTCTGAAAGCGCAAAGCGAGAATGTTTTGTTGCAGAAGTATGTTCACAAGATACAGGCTCTGCAGGGGGAAATCTGGGCGGTTCGCTGACACTTTGGCAGTGACCAAGCCAACAAACCCTCAGGCCGACCTGGCATGCCAGAGCTGCAAAATGCGACCCGTGGTGCAAAAGTGGTGGACTACTCCCCCGAAGGGAGGGCGCTTTGTAGGGACTTGAGGGCCATTCCTCAGCTTTATGGTGATTGGGTCGACTTTCCTGTCTTGTTGTTGGGCCATGCCTGCAAGACTTCAGCACATTTGCCTTAGTGGCCTTGATTTCGGCAGGGTGGTTCTGCTGCCCCCCTTCGCCCCCCCCCCCCCCCCCCCCCGCAGCTGCAGCTGATAGGACTCCAAAAGTAGGCCTGGCAAGGCCCAGAGCGGATCCCGAAGACAAAATCAACTAGGCCTTGTAGCAGCCTAGTCTCCGGTTGAACAAAGAAGTTCGGGGAACTGTGATGTGCTCCAGGACTCTAGCAACCGCTGCAACTTCGACGAGTTTGATGCAGCGTGCCAAAAGCTGAAGTTCAAAGGCCCCGGGTTACTCTCTTGAGTCTCTTGAGGCTTTAGGTCTGGGGTTCGGGCCGTTTGTGGGTCTAGTCCTTCTCCTTGTTTAGGAGAGCGAAGTTTCCTGCAAAACATACTTTGGCCTCTCCTCCCACATGGCTTGTGCAGCTTCCGTGTTCCTGAAGGCGACGTGGCTGGCGCTTGGAGGGCGCTGGATGAGGATCTGTCCGGATACATCACCCTCCAGGAGCGTTCCCAGAGTGAAGGGGAAGGGCTCCTTCGTGCAAGCATGGCAAGTCCGCATGCGAAGAAGGTCCAGTTCCTTGCAGTTGCCTGGTAGGGTTTGAGAGATATTTGAAGATAATGTATGCCAACATCCCCTGAAAGCATGAGGTATGCCTGCGTTATAGAGAACAAAGGAGCGGAGTCTTCTGCAAATCAAAGCTATAGGGATGTGTCGTATATTTAAGTTCGGTCTGCGATGTTGTTTTCAGGAGATCGATCCGGCCTCGTCCAGCGCCTTAGCCAACTTCCGCAGGCAGCACGGCACAGAGAAGAGGGGCCTTCTGTGAGGGAGAGGGGCGAGCAGTCTTTAGTAATTGTTTCGGGGGTGGTATGGGCATGTTGCATGTCTTGTATTGTAGAAAGTCACATACCCCAAGACCATGTCTGTTGGGAAGGTGGTGCGATGAGGAGTTTGGCAGCGTTCGGTCTGCTTTCAGCGTCTTTGACAACAGCGGCGACAACGAGGACACCTCGCTGAGATAGAACGGGGCCCAGGTTCAGACATTGAAGGAATTGCCGTCGCACTGTTCGGGCTTGTACACTCACGTGATTCCTAAACCGGAAACCCTAAACCCTAAACAAAGTATAAAACATAAGATGTTGGAGCGGTGCGCCCCTACTCAGGTGAACTACCGTGAGTGGCGGCGATCCTTGCGCTTCTACGGGTTTGAGGGCGATGCCAGCACACTGTGCCTCGACTGTGGCTGCTGGCAAACGGACTGGCACAGGGAAAGATGCATGCCAAGCACGTTGGCAAGCCACTAGCATGCACAGGCGCTTCAGTACGGACCCCGACCGGGCATTCGGGCAGCCGGGTAAGTGCCAACGTGGGCTCGTAATCGCAAACCAGAACTTGAGAAGCCAACAGCCTCAATTAAAGCCTTACAATCCCTGAGCGAAGGTTCTATGCCCTGGATGTGGAGAGGAGCGGCACACTGACGCTGCAGGAGGTGGAGTTCTTGGATGACTCTCGGTGCCCGGCATTCGTAATGAGTCTGTAGCACTATGAAGCCCAAGCTTAGCTCAGCAGGATTGTGTAAACCGTTTAAGCAGCCGGTGTTGGATGTTGCGCACGATTTTTCACTGGGGCAAAGCATCGCAGAGTATGGAGCCGCTCGAAATCACTCCACAGATTCTGCGGGCGCGGAGCCTGCAAGTCAAGAAGTGGCAACCGCAGATGTATCGTGGATGCCTGGCAGCTCAGGACTGGATCTTCCCTGGCGCGAATACAACGCAGGAGCCAGTTGTAAGACACGTTAACAGGACTACATGCGGAGATGCAATAATGGATACGGGAGCTGAGTAGTTTCAGCTGGAAACAGGCTTGCATAAACCCTATAAACCCTAAAAACGGAGGCTGGTGAGTTTCCGTTGCATGCCCGAGTGGCCTGCAACGCCAAGTTGGTTTCAGGCTTCGGGAGAGAGACCGTTTCCTGAGTGCAAGCCGGCGCCCTGAACCCTAAACCACTCTTTGCATTAGAACCCCCCCAAAAAAGTGGAAGTATTCTTCCCTATTGTTGTTTTTGTTTCAATTTTTTCGGGCTAAGCAACTCTACGGTTCAGGAATTAGGGTTGAGGGTTTAGGGTTTAGGGTAACCGCCACCCCCACCCCCTCGCCTGGACCAGGATGTCAGTTCGACCACGATCTTCTCCCAGGCTCGGCCCCGCTCCATCCTCCAGCTTGCTCTCAAGTTGTGTGGAGGCAATGGCCATCGCATAGTAAGTTCTTAGTAGTAGAGTAGGTCTAGGTATCCTTGATAATCTTTTTGGGGTATTCGAATCCCTATAAATCCCAGAGGGTTACCTTTAATTCCCCCAGGTTACTGGACAACTAAGAGTTTGTTTCTTCAAAAATGTCGGTTTGAGAAGGCTGTTCTCTGGCTCAACTCTGAGAGTGGAGGTACTCAATGTGCCGCCCTCTCCGCAGCAGCTGACCACACAGTACATGACGGAAGGCCGCGCAATGGCCAACGGTGAGAGCGAGAGAGAGAGGGAGAGAGAGCCCTCCGAAACAAAGAAAGAGAGAGAGAGAGAGAGTCGGTCTTTCTGCTTCACTGGGCTTGCGATGATGAGGTGGCGCCTCTTGTGACTAGCATCGAGCGAAGGAAGTTGCAGCTGATGATGAGCAAGAACTTTCTCAAGCGGTTTTGGATTGACTCGGATTGACCACGGTGGCGCCAGGGTTTCAGGGTTGAAGTCTAGGGCTGAGCCACGAATACCTGCCAACACCTATTTCTGCAAGCGTATCCGAAGATCTTGGGCCAGAGGCAGGCTGAGGTTCTCAGCTTAATGAGAATTCAGGGTTGAAGGTTTAGGGTTTCAAAGCCTCCTAGCAACGCAAATGCATGACGCAGCACCAAGCTTTTCGTCGTCTTTGTGAAAGGCCCCTTCAGCGACCGCTCAAACTCCCCTCTCGAAGGCCTAAAGTTTGAGTTCAACCTGTCGCCTACACTTTTAAAGCCGGAAGGCCCAAAAGTCCTAAACCTTAAACCCTGAACCCCCCAAGACCTGCATCCCAAACCCTAAGACCCTAAAGACCGCATATTACAAACCCCCCACAACCAAAAAAAACAGCTGGATCTCTGAAACCCTGTAAACCCTAAACCCTAAACCCTGAACCGCCGGAAGGCCCGGGACCAGCGGCCTGCCCCGCCGGCTACGGCGTCGGCAGCGGCCCCCGGGCGCCGATGCGGCCCTTCCCGGGAGCCTTCTCGTTCCGAGTCTTGGGTTCAATTGGGGCGCAGAGTTTAGGGTTTAGAGTTTAGGGTTTAGGGTTAAGGGTTTAGGAGTTTAGGGTTTAGGCGGTTTAGGCGGTTTAGGGCAAGTTTAGGGTTTGAGTGCGTAGGCCTGGATTCAAAACAAAGGTTTGGGGGACCCAGAGGCACGCCAGAGAGTTCCGGTACCATAAATGAGGGCCCAGAGGCTCTTAGCTGCTGCGAACCTCAAACGGGATATAGCAACCTAGTTTTATTGCTTCCTTCTTGAAGGGGTCTGTTGGGGGTTTGTGGGGCTTGGGCCTTGGGCATTGCCCAGCTCGCTGATATTCGGGACACTCCCTTGTGCATGTTGGACATGTTGGACAAGGCCGATTGTGCGGCATAAGGTCCAATCTTGTTTAGTTTGGTCGAGCAAGACATCATGAAAGAAGTCGAGCCGGTAGACATCTTCGACTGAGGGTCCTGCAGGGTTCAGGTGCCATGTGTATACAGCCTGGCCTATGGCAGCTCAGTGCCCTAATCTACGTCCGAAGCTTCTCAACGTCATCTATGGAACCCCAATGAGTTGTTCGAACTTGGTGAGTTCTGACGCTTCTTAGCGATTTTTGCACCGGCCCTTGGTACCAGTACGTGCTTTCCTCCACCGGACAGGAAAGCGCACAGGGGGCACCATCCTGCTGCCGGCGACGCCCCGCGACGCTGGAGAGGAGCCCTCGCCATTGGACTACGACTCCCGTGCCTTGGATTCACTGGAAGGTTCGTGGGTGTTGTGGCCCTGTTTTTTTTGGTTGAGGGCGTTTTGTAGATTGGAAGGCTCATGCGGGGACGCAGTTGGGGTTTCCAGTAGGGTTCAAGAAGGTAGCACGGGCTAGATCAAGCCTCAAATCAAAGCCCGAAACATTCAACAAAAGCAATGCGTCCCAAGCCCGCAGACCCAAATCTACAAGCCTCTCTCACATCCTACGCACACCTGCCTATATGAATTTGCCTATCCACCCCAAACACCCCCTAATATTGAATAGACCCCGAGAAAGCCTGCACCCTCCACCATTCTAAGTAGCGCAGGCCACCCATGTTGCCTACTTGAAGGTTTATGGGTAGCAATGACCCGGATTATAAGTACCCTACATAAGGATACAACTTATCACCAGCTATAAATATCCCTAAACCCTAAACCCTAAACCCTAAACCCTACTTATAACCCCACTTTTACCATGAACGTCCAAGTAGAGACGCCCTCGGGAGCTCCAGGTCCAGGATGGTCTTCCGTAACCCCGAGCAAGCCCTCCTGGCCTTTCAGCCTCGCGACTGCAGGGCGTAGGGTTTAGGGTTTAGGGTTTAGGGTTTAGGGTTTCGAGTTTAGGGTTTAGGGTGATCCCCCAAACTACATCGCTCACTATACTACAGAAACCTTGTCGCAGTACCCCGATAGGTTTTAGGGTTTTAGGGGCTTGTCGGGTGTGGGCTTTCAAGCTGTATGGGCCTATGGGCTCAATAAACGTTAGGTTGTTTTTTTAGTATGAGGCCTGCAGGTTCACGAAGCTTTCTGCATGAAGGATTTAGGATTTTCAGGCATGTCCCAGCCGATGGCAGGGGTATCGTTTCAAGGGTTTTTGAGTCGTGGATAAAGCAGCCCGGAAGATTTGCTTGGGTCTTTCAGAGCTTATTGGGGAGATGGGGCCGGAGGGCTTGTAAGCGATGCTTTTTGGGCCCTGTGGGGACTTCCAGAGATTTCATTGGGGGGCGGGCTTGGGTGTGCAAACCCAAGCCCTAAGCCCTCAACCCCAAACCCTAAACCCCAAACCCTAAACCCTATAAACCCCTAAACCCCTAAACCCCAAACCCCAAACCCTAAACCCTAAACCCGAAACCCCTAACCCTAAACCCTAAACAGGCAAGGAGGTCCGCAAGTCCAACGAGCCCATCGTGGAGGATCCCCGGGAGCCCCCGGGACCGGGGGAGCCGCTCGGCGTCCGCAAGCTTAGGGGGGTTTGCACCCCTTTTTTGTGGAGGGGAGGGAGGTTTTAGGGTTTAGGGTTTAGGGTCTAGGGTTTAGGTTTTAGGGTTTAGGGTTCAAGGGTTTCGGGTTTCGGGTTTAGGGTTTAGGGTTTGGAGTGCTTCTTTCGTTCTGTCGGCTTGAGGAGTTCGAGTATGCTCGTAGGTCTGCGGGTGTGGGGGACGCATGACGTCTGCCACGTTTCACAGCCTGCAGAGTCTAGGTTCAAAAGGGCTTAGGCATTAGGATTTAGGGTTTAGGGTTTTGAAGGGGCGATACAGTCACATCGCTACCAGTCAACACCGACCCTCGTTGAACAATACAGGACAGACAGGCTGGCTCAGAAAAGGCAGAAAAGTGAAGCACGCCACCGCTTGCGCGCACAGTCGCATCAGGAGTTACACATACACGGTGGAGACGAAGACGAAAGTAAAAGCATGATGTGATGGATTCTGATTCGCTCGTTAAGATTTATGTACCTGCCAAAGTTTCCAGACAGGGGTGCAATTGTCATGCCTGTTTCCCAGCTGATAGTGCAGAGCCTGGGTTCAAAAGGGGGTTTAGGAGCAGGTGGACTAGCAGGCGGGGATTATTAGAAAAAAGGACGACGTGAGGGTGTTCCCCAAAAGAGGGGTACCTCTTTTGGGTGGTTCCTGTACTTAGGGTGCACTAGGGGTGCGCCTATGTTCCTAGAGTTCTGATTCGAGCTTCTAGCTATGGGCCTTGATGTGTTTCATTCATCTCCTTTAGGTCAGCAGGTGCTGAATACAAGTGTTTGGGCTGTTGAGTACTGATATCCTTACGGCGTGCCTTTTTACCCTCTAGCCTATACGCCTCCTAAACCAGAAACCGTCCGAACCCTGAAGAGTCCCTAAACCCTAAACCTTAAAACCTAAACCCTAAACCCTAAACCCTAAACCCTAAACCCTAAACCCTAAACTTAAGCCAGATACACGCCGCTGATGGCCCCCACGGCAGCGGTCGCCTGCACCCCGCGCCGTGCACTAAAAGCGCATCCGCTCTTTGGCCTGCTATGGCATGGTTTGTGTTTAGGGCTTAGGGCTTAGGGTTTAGGGTTTAGGGCTTAGGGTTTAGGGTTTAGGGTTTGTTTGGACGTCAGGGCTTCGGGTAAACTAACCCTAATTCTGATGGGATACAGCTTTTGTTGCTAGTTGGGGGGTTTGCATCTGACATGAAATGCGGAAGCGGCTTGTGTTTCTTCACTGCTTTTGACACGTAATGCTGTTTTACATAATCATGTCATGGATAATAGCTTCCCATTCCAAAATAGGGCCTTGAAACCCTATGTGCACCTTATTGTATCAACCCTGAACCTATGAACCCTATGACGCAGCGCAGCGTGGTGCTGCGGGTGGCAGAAGAGTAAACCATATATGCTACCATTGCTTAATCACCCGAAACGAGTCAAGAATAATGATCCCTACATATCCCTTGTATCTTTCATTGTTTGGGTGGTTCTCAAGCCAATGGTAGCAGTAGAATATTGGTACAAAGCAGGCTTTGGACGATTTTGTCGTAGAACCCTGAGGAGGTGAGTTCGAAGCAGGTAGTGGCCAAACGGATTCAACTCTTCGGGTTTAGGGCTTTGGGTGGGAACTAATTTTGGGTTTAGGGCTTAGGGCTCATAGGGTTTGCGGTCTAGGCGTCAAGAAGGCGAGGATAGGCGGGTGTCTGGCAGTCAGCAAGTCCAGCTTCAAAAAAAGGGTTTAAGCGCCGTTTTGGGTCTAGGGCTTAGGCCTGAAACTCTATCTTTGTGGGCTCAGGTTCTTCAGAGAGGGCTTGGGCAAGCGGACCCAGTTCACGCCGCGGCAGGAGAGTGAAAGACGGAAAGACCTAGGCCGCCGAGGCCCCCTGAATATGAACAAAACGATGATCCAGCATTGGTAAATCCAAACTCCTGAGCCCCCTGAACCCCACACCATAAGCAACAAGCCTAAGCCCCTTAAGCCCTAATTAAAGCTTACACGCCTAAACCCTAACCATCCTAAACCCCTAACAAAACCCTTACCTAAACCCCTAAATCCCTAAACCCCGCAACCCCTGAACCCCTAACTCCTAATCTGAAGGCCCTAAACCCTAAACCCTAAACCGATGTGTCCCATGGCCAGGACGTCCTCGCACTTCCAAGGGTCTGAGCGTTCTGCCGTCCACGGGCGCCCAGTGGCGAGGGATCGGGAATTCCTCCATGCTGTTTCGGGTTTAGGGTTTAGGGGTTTAGAGTTTAAGGGTTTAGGGTTTCGGGCTGGGTTTATGTATGGTTAGGGGTCAGCCAGGAGCCTAAGCTATTTGGAACATTTCTGTATCCCCCTTGTGCCCCCTACTTACTGAACCAGAATCAACAACATCACCAAAGCCTTTTTCTGGCTCAAGAGTCAAGTGCCCATCTTCGGAAATCCATGACCCCAGTCACTGGGAAGCCCTCTCTTAGCCTGTTAGCAAAAAAATCGCCTCTGCACGCACGCTCTGCAACAAGCAGGGCCGGAACTGCGGCGAAAAAAAGCCTCAACCTTTTCGGCTCTGAGGAGGAAGTTGGGGCATACGAGGTGCCTTACATCTCCCTTACTGCTCGCAATCGGCTAAGGGAAAAGGGTTGTTTCAGGGTTCAAGCCTAATAGCGTATGAGTTGAGGACCTTGAGGGTTTAGGGGACTCCACGACAATAAGTGAGCTCGGCATGAGTCTTATCATTCCCGGTTTCATGCAGCTGCCCGTCGTTACCTTACCCTTGGCTGGCTACACACCTCGCACTGTTTGCACACAAGCCATAAACCCGAAAGCCGCAGCTCCTGCGCTGGTGTGCCCCCACTGAATGAGACAAACGCTGGGGGAAAAAAGTCGCTGACCTTAGCGTCTCAGCATCTACGGTTCTGGAGCTCGACCAAAGTTGTTTGGAAGAGTGGCCCTAATCCTAAGGTTTCACGAGATCTTTGGGTATTCGATGGTGTCCCCCATTTGGGGACAGGCACATATGTCTATAATCAATACGAGGGGCCAAGCTCCCAGAGCCATCAAGTAGCCTTATACCCTAAACCCTAAACCCTAAACCCTAAACCCTAAACCCTAAACCCTAAACCCTAAACCCTAAACCCTAAACCCTAAACCCTAAACCCTAAACCCTAAACCCTTCCATCCCCACCTCTCCTTCAAAGTCGATCTGCCTGCCGAGGCCATGACCCGCCTACCTGGGCAGCCACTAGATACCTTCCTTAGGCCAGGTTTTTTTTTTTTTTTTTTTTGGGGGGGGGGGGGGGGGGGTAGGGTTTAGGGTTTAGGGTTTAGGGTTTAGGGTTAGGGTTTAGGGTTTAGGGTTTAGGGTTTAGGGTTTAGGGTCTAGGGTCTAGGGTCTAGGGTTTAGAAAAAAGGGTTTAGGGTTTAAGTTTAGGATGACACCTTCCTTAGGCCAGGCTTTAGGGGGGCTTGCCCTTTTTCCCTTCAAGGTTCCCTTCGAAAAATAGCCCACCCCCAAAAAGGGCAAAAGGTTTGGGGGAGGCCTGTGAATCGCTCCTTACTTTTTCAGGTATCGATTTTACTCGCTTAGGGTTTGGGGTTTAGTGTTTAGGGTTTAGGGTTAGTGTTGTAGGTGTTCCAGGGATTCAAGGTGCAAGGGGAGTTGCCTCTTCGGGCCCGGCTAACGGGTTGTTGAGTCGGGTGGAACTTGGTTGCTTCGCATGGCTCATGAACCAAAGTGCCCCCAAAGCAAGCACGGCATCCCTAAACCCCAAGCCCTAAACCCTAAACCGTCCGAGTGTGAGCGATTAAACCCTGAACACTAAGCCATGCTCCAGGCTTAAACAGGACGAGGCGCAGTTGCAGAACTTCGGCTCGGTCCTCGGGATTGGCCCAGTCTGAAACTCTG